GGACATTATGAAAATACATCGCGTTTATTAATAATACACTGGGTTTTTACAATCTACCCTCCTTAAAATATTTCCATCCTCGGAAATATAAAACTAGATATATATACGGAATGCAAGAAAAGTACATACTTCAAAACTTAAAATCAGGAAAACGAGCGTGAATGTCAGCCTCTTACTCCCAAGTGGTCCGTGGTGATCCCACTGAATACGAACGAGGGGAACATCACGCTTCCGAAGCCGTCGAACCTGTCGGTCCAACACAGCTATCGGTCGCTCCTCGTAAGATAAGTCTGGATGGATCTGAATATCGGTATGTGGAATAACATGATCGGGGTCACACACGTACTTACGTAACATGGACACATGGAAAAAAATTATGAACACTGGACAACTCGGGAGGTAAGGCTAATCGGTATGCAACTTCGCCCACTCGCTCGAGAACTTCGAACGGGCCAATGAATCGGGGGTGTAATTTCCCTCTCTTCCCGAATCGAATAACTCCGCGGAATGGGCTAACTCTAAGAAAAGCTCGTTCTCCTACTTCGAACTAGATGTCACGTCTGTGCTTGTCGGTCGATGACTTCTGCCGACTTTGCGCTGTTTTAAGTCTCTGTCTGATAAGCTCAACTTGCTCAGCTGTCTCCTCGATCATCTTCGGATCGAGTACTCGACATTCGCCAACATCGTCCCAATAAAGGGGCGAGCGGCATTTACACCCGTAAAGTGCCTCGAAAGGAGCCATCTTGATCGACGCCTGATAACTGTTGCTATAGGCAAACTCAACTAATGGTAAAATCGACTCCCACTTAGCACCCCTGTCTAAAACTAACGCTCTGAGCATATCCTCGAGCGTCTGAATAGTCCTTTCTGTCTGACCGTCTGTCTCTGGATGGTAAGCCGAACTGAACTGCAACTGCGTGCCCATCGCCTCGTGTAAACTCTTCCAGAATCTGCTGGTGAATCTGTTATCTCGATCTGACACAATATGAACGGGCACTCTGTGGAGTCGAATGATCCCACGGGTATAAATCTCGGCTAACTTCTCTATCGACATGGTCATCGATACAGGTAGGAAATGTGCGACTTTCGTCAATCTATCCACTACTACCCAAATTGCATCGTGATGCTCGGACGACTTGGGCAGCCCTGTAACGAAATCCATTGCAATCTCCTCCCACTTCCACTTTGGAATCTCGAGTGGTCACAGAAGGCCTAAAGGACTCTTGTGTTCGGCCTTAACTTGCTGACAGACCAAACACTTCTTTACGAAACTGGCAACATCTTTCTTCATTCCCCTCCACCAGAAAACCCTTTCCAGTCTGATACATCTTGGTGCTGCGGGGGTGAGCTAAATAAGGCGCGTGTGTGCCTCCGTCAAGATCTCCTTTTGCAAAGCCTCGACCTTCGGCACTACAATCCTGCCTCGGAATTCTAAGCCGCCATCAGCGCCTCGGGAAAAACCCTCGACTCCTCCGGCGTGAACCTTGGCCTCAATAGCACGAATAAACTGATCATGAGCCTGTTCTCTCCAAATTCTGTCCCTCAACATGGACTGGACATGCATCGAGCTAACACTCCCTGTAATCACTGCAAGAAGCGACTCGACGACCTGAATCTGCATCCGGGCAAAGTCTCGAACAAGATAACGCTGCTGGGTAATAGAACAAGATAATTCGCCCTTTACCTTCTGGCTCAGGGCGTCAGCTACAACATTTGCTTTCCCCGGATGATACTGAATCGTGCAGTAATAATCTTTAACAAGCTCCAACCAACGTCGCTGACGCATGTTGAGCTCCTTTTGCGTGAAAATATACTGCAGACTCTTGTGATCGGTGTAAATCTCGCATCGACCACCATACAGATAATTCCGCCATATCTTGAGTGCATGTACTACTGCAGCTAACTCCAGGTCGTGGGTAGGATTGTTCTGCTCATGGGGCTTCAGCTGACATGAAGCATACGCTACAACCTGGCTGTCCTGCATAAGTACACACCCCAAACCCCGTCTCGAAGCATCACTATAGATGGTGAAACTCCGAGAAGGATCTGGAATAGTCAACACTGGTGCCGTCGTAAGCCTCCTTTTCAGCTCCTGAAAACTCGACTCACAACGGTCTGTCCACTCAAACTTCACAGACTTCCTCGTCAACTGGGACAAAGGGAGGGCAATCTTCGAAAACCCCTCAATAAATCTGCGATAATAACCTGCAAGGCCGAAGAAACTACGAACCTCAGATGGATTCTTCGATGCTAACCAGTTTTGGACTGCGGCAATTTTTGAAGGATCTACTTCAATACCTGCTTGAGTAATAATGTGGCCAAGAAAGGCCACTCGCTGAAGCCAAAATTTGCATTTAGAAAACTTTGCATATAACTTTTCACGTCTAAGGGTCTCAAGAACGGTCCTCAGATGTTCTTCATGCTCCTTCTGGCTCTTGGAATAGATAAGAATATCATCAACGAATACAATAACAAACTGATCTAGAAAAGGATGAAACACACGGTTCATCAAGTCCATGAATACTGTCGGGGCATTGCTGAGACCAAACGGCATAACCACGAACTCGAAGTGACTGTATCTCGTACGAAACGCTGTCTTAGGTATGTATGATTCCTTGATTTTTAGCTGATGGTAGCCTGAATGTAAATCGATCTTGGAAAATACAGAGGCACCCCTCAGCTGATCAAATAAATCATTGATTCTGGGAAGCGGATATTTATTCTTGATTGTCAACCGATTAAGATCTCGGTAGTCAATACACATACGCATAGATCCGTCCTTCTTCTTGACAAAGAGAACGGGTGCTCCCCAAGTTGAAACGCTCGGTCGAATAAAACCGAGATTCAGTAACTCTTGAATTTGGGTCTTTAATTCCTGCAATTCTTTAGGTGCCATTCTGTATGGTGCCTTAGAAACAGGTCCGGCTCCAGGGATAAGATCGATAGAAAATTCCACCTGTCGGCTAGGTGTACCGCCGGGTAGCTGATCTGGAAACACGCCCACGAACTCACGAACAATGGGAATGTCATGAGGTGACCGTGCTTTTGGCTCATCTCTGACGAGGCTCACAAGGTAACCCTGGCAATCACCCCGTCGAAGAATCCTCCTGGCTTTCGCCATAAAAATAATATGGGGCAGAGTACGAGTCCTGGAGCCGAAATAAGTGATCTGATCATTTCCCGGAAGATAAAGTGTAATCTCCCGGTCATGACATCAAATATCTGCGTGAAAACATGTTAGTCAATTCATACCGAGTATGAGATCAAAATCCCTCATCTCGATAACATAAGCATCAGTAGTCAAAATACGGCCACTGATGGAAAGGCTGAGATTTGTGGCTCTAACATCAGTCACTATCTTTCGTCCCGAGGCTAAACTCACCTCGAGAGGATCGACAGTGGTAATAGAATGAACTCTTATAGCTTCGAGACATCGGCGTGATATAAAAGAATGGGTCGCTCCAGTGTCAAATAAGGCGTAAACAGGCATATCATCAAGAACAATCATCCCAGACATGGTACTTGGGTGCTGGTCGGCCTCCCTCTGGTCAACTGCAAAGACACGGGCTTGTTTTCTGCCGTGTGGCTGTT